TCACCCCGCCGCCCGGCGCGGCCCCGGCCCGCGGCTCCGCACCCACGGTGCCCACTGAAGCGAGCCTGGCGCCCCGAGAGGAGGAAGAACCACAGAGCCCCCGCTGCTCCCGAGGACCGCTGCCGCTTCATCCCACCCGCTCCCGCCGCTGCCCGGCCATGGGGAGCTGCGCACGGCTGCTGCTGCTCTGGGGCTGCTCGGCGGTGGCCGCAGGTGGGTGGTGACGCGGCCGGGCCCCCACCCCTCTTCCCTTGCTCCTGCTCCCCACCCCACCCCAACCCCCAAGCTCGGGGACTGGGGGATGTAGGGGACCCCCGGACAGGGAGCCCTGAGCTCGGCTACCGAGGATGAAGCGAGTGGCCATGTTCCGTCTCCTTTGCCCGCGACTCCGCACTTTCAAACACTTGATTTTTTTTTTTTTTTCCTCCCCTGCAACTGAGATACACATGTCCTTGAATAACCAGATATCCTGGGTACGCCCTGCAGGAGATAGAGAGATCAGTGTTTCTTTCTGGGTTTGGCTTGGGGGAAAGAAAAAAAAAAAAACTGCCTTTGCACTTGGTGAGGGGAACAAAGGACCCAGCTCGCCATCCCCGGGCTCTCCATGGCCTGAGGAGTGACGAGGAGGGGTGGCCCAGAGACCCTGGGCGTGCGTGGGCCGAGACCGCTCTCTCCTTTGGAGCGATCGCCACCTTCCCGGATCTCCTTCTGTAAACTTGGGAAGCAGGTAGGGCCACCTGGGGTGAGGGTGAGCGCCCTCTTCCCGGGGCGGTGGCTGCAACGCAGGAGAACTCGGAGCTGGGGACCATGGGGGGTGATCACTCAGGTGGTGATTGCCCCGAGCTGGCTGACCGCCCCTGGGGAATCGGTACCCTGGCCGAGGCTCTGCAGGAGGTCGGAGGCGGGTCTGCTCCTTGGCTCAGTAACTGGACTACTGGCAACCGTCAGATGCCCTCTCCCTCCCACTCCGGTCCTGGCTCTCTTGGACTGCCCTAAGGCCACCGGCTCCAGGCTCGCTGTTTTTGAGTCCCTGAGCCCCTCTCGGCTTCTCTGCCTCCCTTCTCGCAGGCCACCTGGCTCTCAGTTGGGCTAAGCACAGCACAGTGGGGTACAGGGTAAAGATTGCACCCTGATTTCAACCTCGTTCAGATGGACGTGACTTGCTCCAGAAACCGGAGTGTGGGTTAGAGGAACCGATTGGGAGATTCAGAGCATTGTGGCAGGCATCTCTTTGGTTGGGCGGCTTTCCAGTCTCTCCTCAGAGCTGCTGGCTTGAGAGTCTGCATCCTCCATCAGGTGTAAACCCCCCCCTCGCCCCCCCCCACAGTCAGTTCTTCAGGGGTCGCCACTGTTTTTGCTCACTGATAACTACTTATTGTCAAATTATTAGGGTGTGGAAACTTTCCTTCATTATTTTCCCCCAAGACTGCGTCAAACGTCTCACTGTTAAAGATCTCTCTTGAATTCTTCCTGCTCACACTCTTGATTGTGCATTACACACCCACGCTCCCACAACCCGGAAGTGAACTTTTCGTAAACTTTCCCCCTTTCAGACCATGTTATGACAAAAAACAAAAAACAAAACATGGGAGGCATCAGGAGGTTGTAAATAAACATCACAAGGCGGGTGTTGCAAGTCAAAGGTACTTGTACAGGCAGTATGCGCTTTTCCCCGGGAATGCTTCACAGGTGAGTCATAGCACACGGTGTTTTGTGTGTTTCTGCCCACAGGCAGCTGTTGGGCCCGCTAATCAGAACAATGGCAAACAGAGTCTGGGCATGGTGCACATTTCCATTTGACACTTAAAAAAAAAAATAATGCCTGAGGAAACCCCTTATTTTGGTTGCAAGCCTGTGTGAGGCGGTGATTGCCACTGTGGGACATCTCTCCTCTCCAGCCAAAGCTGTCATTTGGCTCTATCCAGTGCCCCTGTGATAACAACTCAGAGGTCTGTCTCTTAACCAGAAACATCCAATTAGCCAGAATTTGGGGTTTGGTTACCTTTTCCTTCTTTTCCTCTGTGTTTTAATTTTTCTTAAATGGACAATTTTTTGCTTACGGTCTTCGTAATTAAAACGACAAACCCAAATTAAGGGATTATGACACGCAGCCAGAATGTGAATCAGTGGGTACTGCTTACCATTCTAAGTACTCCTGAGACATTAAGGTGGGTGGGGACTTTGGGAGGGAGAGTCACTCTCTTTAAGACGAGGTTTAGTTCATGACAGTTGTTAGAGGTTTGGTATGGCAGACCGTCATCATTCTCCAGCTAAGCTAACAGGTAAGTACTACACAAACCTGCCATAGGTAGAAATATTTAAGAAGCAGAGAGCAGGGACAATAAACTTTCCTGTCATGTGGTAGTTTGGAGGGTTTTTTTTTTAAATAGTTATATTTAGTTAATATTAGACATGGATATCACACATTTGAGATCCATTGGTTTCTGGCTTTGCCACCTGAAATGAGGTCCCATTGTGTATTTATGAAATATCTTGTGTTGATTTTCCTAGAGAATTACCCCTTTACTGGTTAAAAAACAATATAAAGAAAATGAAGGAGATGGGGGTGGTGGTGGCTAAGCTCAGTTGCTAAAATGTTTGTCAGACAAGCACGAGACGTGGGAGTTCGATCCTTAGCAAGCACATCAAAAGTGAGGTGTGATAATACACTTACAGCCCAACACTGGAGAGCCCGAGACCAGCAGATCTCAGGTCTCCCGCGCTCGCTAGTCTAGCCTACTTGGCAAGTTCCAGGCCAGTGGGAAACACTGTCTCAAAAACACAAGGTGAAGGGCTGGAGAGACGGCTCAGTGACTAAGAGCACATGCTGCTTTTGCCGAGGACCTGGGTTCTGTTCCTAGCACTGAACACTAGGACTCACAACTATCTGCAACTCCAGTTCCAGGGGATCCAGTACCCTCTTCTGGCTTTCTTCAGGCTTCTGTGTGCAGGTGGTGCACATGCATATACTCAGACACACACACACACACACACACACACACACACACACACACACACGATATGATAAATCTAAAAGCAACAAGATACCTTAGGAACAATACCCAAGGTTTTCTGGCCTCCACATGTGCACACTCACTTGTACACACATCCAATTGCACACGTGAACACACTATCATCTATCTCTCAAGCACACACGTACTTGTATACATGAATCACTGTGAGTATCGGATAGTGTTCATGGTCCAGTTTGGTAGCTTCTTCTCATACAGAAAGGCCCAAGGTCTTCGGAGGATATCTTGACTGTTGTAGATAAATAAGCAGATCCTTCCTATTTCCAATGGGTTTGTCTTGAATGACGTATGCTCTCCCCTCCTCAGGACTGAGTGGCGTAGCTGGAGCAAATTCCCGCTGTGAGAAGGCCTGCAACCCTCGCATGGGAAACTTGGCTTTGGGACGAAAACTCCGGGCAGACAGCACCTGCGGTCAGAACGCCACTGAACTGTTCTGCTTCTACAGCGAGAACGCCGATCTCACGTGCCGGCAGCCCAAGTGCGACAAGTGTAACGCAGCTCACTCTCACCTGGCCCACCTGCCCTCTGCCATGGCAGACTCGTCCTTCAGGTTTCCCCGTACCTGGTGGCAGTCCGCAGAGGATGTGCACAGAGAAAAGATCCAGCTAGACCTGGAAGCAGAATTCTACTTTACTCACCTAATTATGGTGTTCAAGTCCCCCAGGCCCGCGGCCATGGTGCTGGACCGGTCCCAGGACTTTGGCAAGACGTGGAAGCCTTACAAGTACTTTGCAACAAACTGCTCAGCTACTTTCGGTCTGGAGGATGATGTTGTGAAGAAGGGAGCTATTTGCACGTCTAGATACTCACATGCTTTTCCATGCACCGGAGGAGAGGTAAGGGCACCTGTTTAATTCTACACCGTAAGGGGAGAGAGGTAGAAAAAATGCTACCAGCCCACATTTTTTAAAAAGCATGAAGCTATACTTGTAGCAACATGAATGAAATTAGAATTTTTGGTGAGCTTTGTCATAAATTATTTCTCACCCTTGGACATGGATGTGTAGCTGTTCTTCAGCAGATTGCCCACTGGCTCGATTTCAGTCAGGATTCTAAGATTCTGTTTTGTTTTGTTTTGTTTTGTTTTGTTTTTCATTTGCGCCATCCCTCTGCTCAGGATGTTTAAAGGCTGCTGGTCCCTCTGGCTAGCAGAGATGTTTACTGCATTGCGGAGAAAGCCTGCTTGGAAAGCACGTGCTGGCATTTTCCTGATATTCGAAATGTAAATGGGTGGTAAATAAAAACAAAGCGGGGGGGGGGGCGGATATGTCCATCAAAAGACCACGAAGAAATCAGCCAGCGAAGAGCTCCCCTTGCATGCATGATGTCCTTAGTTCAGAACCCCCACGAAAGAGCTGGGTTCAGGATGCAGGCTTTGCCACTCAGCGCTGGGTGGGTGGAGACAGGAGGATGCACGGGGCTTGTTGGCCAGTCACTGTGGCCAAATCAGTGAGCCCTAGGTTCAGTTGGAAACCCTGTCTCAAAAAGAGAGGTGCAGAGCCTGGGGGGGGGGGGGGAATGGCACAGTTGGTAAAGTGCCTGAGATACAGGCATGAGGATCTGAGTTCGGAGCCTCGGCACCTCTGTAAAAAGCATGATGGATCTCTAAGGCCTGCTGGCCCACTGGCGAATCGAGCCAATTGGCAAGCTCTGGGTTCAGTGAGAGGTACTATGTCAGAAGATAAGACTGAGAATCTTAGTGAACAATACTTGATGCCATTCTCTAGCTCTGCATGCACACACACACACACACATAAATACACACACATTGTGCATGCATTATACACACACACACTGTGCATGCATCACACACATGCACACAAACTGGGTAGAGAAGCGATTGAGGAAGATGCCCACCATCAGCCCCTGCTCTCCGTGAGCAGGTATACAAACATGTACATGCATACTACACACACACACACACACACACACACACACACACACACACACACACACCACATACAAATAAGGTAGAAAAGTCATGCTAGGGGAGATGCTAGCTTTCAATGTCTGGATTCACACACATTTGCATGAATTCACACATGTACACACACACACACACACACACACACACACACATACAAACACACACACGTTGGAGGTTTGATGTTAAGATGCCAAGAATGTGTAGCAAGACAGTTCCTTTTAACACAAAAGACGATTTGAGGCTCACAGATACATGAATTTCACTTAGGGACTCGGGTCTGTTCTCTTTCCTGGGCCCAAAGTCAGGCCATGTTCATTCTGTAAACCAGTCTTGCCAGCTACAGGTCCAGTTTCTATATATTTCCCCAATTTCATATTCCTTCCCCTGTGGGGGGCGGAATATGTCTTTTTAGCTTTCATAGAGGCTCCCAAGGAAATTCTTCCTAGGTATATGAGAATACACACAAAGATGGCGGCTCTTCCAGAGGACCCGGGTTCAAGTCCCAGCACCCACACAGTAGCTCACAACTGTCTGTAACTCGGTACTAGGGGATACAATGCCCTCTTCTGGCTTTCATGGGCACCAGGCACACACATGGTACACAGACACACATGCAGGCAAAACACCCACACACATAAAATAAAATAATTAAAAAATAAAACAGGAAAATATTGAGAAGGGGGGCAGGCAGTAAGAGTATCATCTTTCTGATGCTGATAGCTACCATGAACGTAAAGACTAGATAAGCGATGGGTGGCCAGGGTTTGTTTTACGGAATCCCCTGGCATCAGGACATTTATTGATGTCTGGAGACACTTTTGCCTTTTGAGGGAGGAGTGGTGAGCACCATTTGGGATTTACTGGGTGGCCAGGGAGAAAGTTAAGTCCTGGACAAGGCACAGGAGGCATTTCCTCCTCCTTCTCCAACAGAATTATCTAGCCCAAGATGTCAACACCACCCCGGTTGAGAAAGTGGGAGCTAGGTGTTGGGCATCCATCCAATGCACATGACCCGAAGGCTATAGGCACCGAGATAAGCAGCTCGAAGCAATCATTCATGCAGCTGCTCACAAGGTCCCCAGATGGTGGCACTTCACAAACGTTTACGGAGTCCCTGCCGTGTGTCAAGCACTGTACTCAGCTCCAGTAGGTTCTGCTTTGGGTTGGTAGACGATCTGCTTGCCGGCGCCTGATGCAAAGTTTAGGATGGGAATTTCTTCTACCCTTGAGTCTCTGACACAGAGTGCCTGTTTCTAGGGGTTCACGCCCAAAGCCCTCCAGAACAGTGCTATATTGAAACCAGAACCAGGAAGGTCATGGTCTGCCACTGTTTCCCATTCTCCTTAATAATCCTTAAAGCTCGCTTAATGTTGTAAGCCCTTTCTTTATACGCTGTTATGATGGACATTTTTAAAGATACGAGGACAGGAAAGACAAAGATAAGATAGGCTCCTTGTTTTCTTATGTGGAGAACACTTTGTGTTAAAAACAAGTGAATGGTTTGAACTCTCAAACTGCTTTGGAACTGGCCCACAGGCTCCTATCGGCTCTCTATACCTCAATGCTACCTGGGCCACGTGTATTTGTAAAGCAGCGAAAATAGTGAGTAACCAGGTGACGGGCACCTGCTTACTAACAGGTGCCACAGTCACTCAGAGATGACTAATGCAATGCTTAACCTGGGCTGTGTTGTAAGCGCAAACTGAACTGCTGGAGAGCTCAGTCTACCAAGGGTTAGCCTCGCAAGGACAGCGACCTGTTTTCCATCCCAGAACCCACATTAAAAAAAAAAAAAAGGCTGGGCATGGTGCCACACACTTATAATCCCTGCCCGGGGAAGGCAGAGATAGGCAGATTCTGAGGGCTGGCTGGCCAGGCAGCCCAGGCTACTTGGTGAGCTTCAGGTCAGTGAGACCCTGTCTTTAAAAAAAAAAAAAGGAAAAGGTAGACGGCCCCCCAAGGCACGGCACCTAAGCTTGTCCGCTGGCATCCACACATGTACATCTGCACCTAAACACAAATGTGCATGGGCACACAGGCATGCACAATGTCAAGTAGTCATTGTCACCAGTGCTTACGTCACATTCCAAGCAGAGACTACAATTTTTATCAGTTATTTCAAAGGACAGATACCTTTTTTTTAAATCCACATTGTGGTCGGGTGGCGGCGGCGGCGGCGGCGGCGGCGGCAGCACACGCCTTTAATCCCAGCACTCGGGAGGCAGAGACAGGCAGATCTCTGTGAGTTCGAGGACAGCCTGGTCTCCAAAGCGAGTTCCAGAAAAGGTGCAAAGCTACACAGAGAAACCCTGTCTCGAAAAGCCAAAATAATAATAATAATAATAATAAATCCACATTGTAAACGCTTTCGGATAACCCTGCTGTTTGAGCAGACTTCTGTTTTAATGGTGAGGAAAACATGAGTTCATCTTAGCACCCCCTAGAGCAGTATTTACAACAGTGAGCTGAATTTCTCAGCTGAGCTGGCAAGCAAAAGAGAGCCTTGCTTCAAGATCAGAGGCAAAGGAAGCCCCCAGGACCTATCGAGAACTGACCCCTCCTCTAGAACAGACGTTGGACGGAATGAATTGTGCTGAGCTCCCATGAATTTTGCGGCTAACACTGCAAATCACCAGGTTGTATCTTTGGAAACAGTGTTGAGAAAAACAAGCCAGCGACTCGGATTTCAAGTAGGACATCTCAAGTTCCATTTCTTGCTTGCCAATAAGCCCAGAGATCTGTGATCTTCCTGAATTTTTAGAAAGACTTGCTCACAACTTCAGTAGGAAGGTGAAGCTGTGCCCGTGACATAAGCTGGCTTCCAGGGTTCATTCAGAAATCTGGATCTGAACTTTGAGACCTTACAGCTGCACATCTGGAAGAGTCTCCATCCACAAAGCTGGAGGGACCACATTCTGAAAGAGGGCTTTAAAAACAGGTGCACCGGGCGGTGGTAGTGGTGCACGCCTTTATTCCCAGCACTTGGGAGGCAGAGCCAGGTGGATCTCTGTGAGTTCGAGGCCAGCCTGGTCTATAGAGTGAGCTCCAGGGCATGCACCAAAACTACACAGAGAAACCCTGTCTCAAAAATAAAATAAAATAAAATAAAATAAAATAAGATAAAATAAAATAAAAACACAGGTGCATTAATCCACTCAGGCTGCTTTGTAGGAGACAGATGCTGGTGGTTGAACCCAGGGCCTTGAACATGCTAGGCAAGCTCTCTACATTGAGCCACATACTCAGCCCCAAAAGATTACTTTTTAAACCATGGAGTTAAACCTGCCATACAGACTTCTGAAGGTGGCCAGTAGTTTAAAAGGATGGTTATTTTTTAAAGCACACCCCCTACCCAGAGGACGACTCTGTTGCCCAGAAGTGTCGTGGTCTGCCCGACAACTTGTAGTAAGCTGTGGGACAGTTAGGAATAAAGCCACAGGTCTTCTGACCTGAAGTTCAGTGTTTGCCCCCTAGATTATGTTCTTCCTCTAATATTGACGCCCCCAGAGCTGCTGGGCACCCCTCTTTCCTCACTGTCTCAAAGCCATTTATTTGCTGCTATCCATTGGGATGATATAAAGAGGAAGAATTTTTCAAACAGCTCTCTCCAAAGAAACAATATCTTCTGAGATGTCAGTGGCGTCTCAACATGGACAGAGTCAATGGTCAAGTCAGCGCAGGAGACACGGACTGGGGTCATGATCGATTTTCTGTCGCTAATAACAGAATGCCTCAGTTCAGGCAATTTGCAGGAATAGATGTGCATTTGGTTTATAGTTCTGGAGGTTGCCAAGTTCAACGTCATGGTACCGGCGTCTGCTCAGCATTCTAACAAAGCCAAGGGCATCACCTGTTTCCACAAAACAACTTGCTAGCTGGGGTCTCTCTAGTCTTATAAAACTACCCCAT